TTCATATTCGCCTAAGAACCGCCTGGGAAGGTACACTTTTGTTCCAACTCAAAACCGCGTGCATTTATATTATATATAAATTATACATAAAGTGATATGGAGTCTGCTGAAAATGCGCTATCACTGTCTCGGGGGATAATTTATCTGTTATACGATTTAAGTTTGACCATATCGTTAAGTAATATCTGATAAAATGGCCTGTAATTAGTTCTCTCTGTTACTCGCACATAAATTATTGCCGTCGCTAGCACATATGAAATTACTACCTTCATCAAAAATTGCAAACCTTTTAGGTATATCAATAAACTTGTATGTGTTTATGTGCACGTGTTCTTTGATATGTCTAAACATTGTATTTATTTTTAAACCAGAGTTTTAGCGCCAGTCCATATTGGGCGTGTATACTGAGTTCTCGGACTTGGTTAAATATAAATAGTATTTAAGGTTACGTTTGTTCACGTGAACTAACAGCACTATAATATTAACTATATAGTGCTTAAATATATAGAGGTTATTTTAAACATAAGTTTAAACAAAAAATTAAACAAGCAATAAGCAGAGACAAAAAAAGAATGTTATACAACTGTCTGACTATACAATTAATAATGAACATAAATTTAATTTACATGACATATAATGCACACATGTGTGTGCGTGTGTGTGTGTGTGTGTGTGTGTGTGTGTGTGTGTATGTGTGTTTGTTATTATCTGTTACTTAATATTAAATTAATTTATTTTTTAAAGAATGATTTGCTTTGGTGGAAGATGTTAGTTGAAGAAAATTCCTTATTATAGCTACTGAGTATGCGACATATTACAGAAAAAAGTGCAGGAAATTAATTAGGGACTATCAATTTTGTTACTGCAAATTTCATGTTGGAATAACATCTGGCGATCTTTCAACAGCATTAATTTACGAATATTACATGATTCTATATAATTTTAATGTTATATTTTGACATCGAAAAGTCAAGGCCTTAATATATTTTGTCTGTATTCGTTCTTATATAATTTAGATTTCACACAACACTCCAATATTCCAGCACGCTACGGACCTAAGGATAATATAAAATCTTTATAGATTCTATGTCTAAAAAAGGTGGACAAACTCGTACTACAAAGCTAAGATTTTTATTAGCCTTTGCAACCATTTCCGTGATATGATCAGACATCATCATTTTTGAATTAAAGACTATTCCGAGGTCCTTGGTTTTGTCAGTGTGTTCTAAAGGAACGTTGTTCAAATAGTATTGAGATTTAATTTTTTTTCCTTTTGCAAGTAAAGCTAATTTGGAAACATTTCGATACATTCACGCCTATACGGTTATCACGGCAGTAGCTGCAGAACCGATATAAGTTTACCTACATTATGTAGCTTATAAGGATCTGATTCAGATTTTATGCAAGCATAAATTTTCATGTCATTAGCGTACATCAGGAACTTATCAAAGTGAAAGCAGTTGCCCACATCGTATAAGTATATCGCATACAACAAGGGCCTCTATAATGAGCCTTGTGGGACTCCAGATAGAACGTCCACAACATTCGAGCAATATCCAGCCACTACGGCTGCCTGTGAGCGATTGTGCAGATACGATTCCATCCATCGGAAAGGGTTATTATGCATTTCTAGCTCCTGGAGCTTTTTGAAGCGGATGGTGTGATCAACTCGGTCAAAAGCAAATTGGTGCAAGTTGAGCGACCACGTACAAAGCCATATTGTTAGGAAGGAATATTCCGAATAACTAACGGGTATATTTGCTTATGGACTACTCTTTCCATTACATTAATACTTCAATTTTTAATACATTCAATATTGATATTGAATATATATATATATATATATATATATATATATATATATATATATATATATATATATATATATATATATATATATATATATATATATATATATTTCCAAATTAGCTTTACTTGCAAAAAGGAAAAAAATTTAAATCTCAATACTATTTGAACAACGTTCCTTTAGAACACACTGACAAAACCAAGGACCTCGGAATAGTCTTCAATTCAAAAATGATGATGTCTGTTCATATCACGGAAATGGTTGCAAAGGCTAATAAAAATCTTAGCTTTGTAGTACGAGTTTGTCCACCTTTTTTAGACATAGAAACATTTCGATACATTCACGCCTATACGGTTATCACGGCAGTAGCTGCAGAACCGATATAAGTTTACCTACATTATGTAGCTTATAAGGATCTGATTCAGATTTTATGCAAGCATAAATTTTCATGTCATTAGCGTACATCAGGAACTTATCAAAGTGAAAGCAGTTGCCCACATCGTATAAGTATATCGCATACAACAAGGGCCTCTATAATGAGCCTTGTGGGACTCCAGATAGAACGTCCACAACATTCGAGCAATATCCAGCCACTACGGCTGCCTGTGAGCGATTGTGCAGATACGATTCCATCCATCGGAAAGGGTTATTATGCATTCCTAGCTCCTGGAGCTTTTTGAAGCGGATGGTGTGATCAACTCGGTCAAAAGCAAATTGGTGCAAGTTGAGCGACCACGTACAAAGCCATATTGTTAGGAAGGAATATTCCGAATAACTAACGGGTATATTTGCTTATGGACTACTCTTTCCATTACATTAATACTTCAATTTTTAATACATTCAATATTGATATTGAATATATATATATATATATATATATATATATATATATATATATTCCAAATTAGCTTTACTTGCAAAAGGAAAAAATTTAAATCTCAATACTATTTGAACAACGTTCCTTTAGAACACACTGACAAAACCAAGGACCTCGGAATAGTCTTCAATTCAAAAATGATGATGTCTGTTCATATCACGGAAATGGTTGCAAAGGCTAATAAAAATCTTAGCTTTGTAGTACGAGTTTGTCCACCTTTTTTAGACATAGAAACATTTCGATACATTCACGCCTATACGGTTATCACGGCAGTAGCTGCAGAACCGATATAAGTTTACCTACATTATGTAGCTTATAAGGATCTGATTCAGATTTTATGCAAGCATAAATTTTCATGTCATTAGCGTACATCAGGAACTTATCAAAGTGAAAGCAGTTGCCCACATCGTATAAGTATATCGCATACAACAAGGGCCTCTATAATGAGCCTTGTGGGACTCCAGATAGAACGTCCACAACATTCGAGCAATATCCAGCCACTACGGCTGCCTGTGAGCGATTGTGCAGATACGATTCCATCCATCGGAAAGGGTTATTATGCATTCCTAGCTCCTGGAGCTTTTTGAAGCGGATGGTGTGATCAACTCGGTCAAAAGCAAATTGGTGCAAGTTGAGCGACCACGTACAAAGCCATATTGTTAGGAAGGAATATTCCAAATAACTAACGGGTATATTTGCTTATGGACTACTCTTTCCATTACATTAATACTTCAATTTTTAATACATTCAATATTGATATTGAATATATATATATATATATATATATATATATATATATATATATATATATATATATATATATATATATATATATATATATATATATATAATTCCCGATGCTTGTTTTTTGATCTATTTTTATGTATAATTGATACAATATTGGCAGTTTTCCAAATTTTTGCAAGGTATCCTTCTTCAAAACATCTATTAAATATTACTGTTATGGGAGTTGCCAATGACTTCACACATTCCGACAAAGAAAAGGGGAGGGGGTTCCATCACAACCGGCCCTTTGGGAACAAGTAAGAGTTGTTAGAAATTTCATTGTGTCGGCAATCGAGATATGTATACCACTTATTATATTACAGCCTGACACTCTCTTTTCATATATTTCACTATATGGTTGTGTTGTTAGGCTAAAATTTCTGCAAAAAAGGCATTAAAAGCATTACAGATCACAAATTCATTAACGACATTATAACCATTTACCGAATCGGTTCTTTCTTTTTGATTTTATGTAACTCCAAAATAATTTATTCGATGAATTGATTTTATCTTGATATAATTTAATACGAGAGAAATATCATTCTTTTCGAGTTACTTTACCCTAGATCGTATTTTGGTAAAAGACGCATAATCTTCTGGGTTACTTTTTTTCAGAGATGGTGGTACTTAGCTTTTTCTCTTATTAATTTTATGAGGGTATTGCTATATCATACAGGGTATACATTTGAATAAGAAATAACATTTTTGGAGTAAATGTTTAATAATAGCAGTATTTAATACGGAATAAAAATTGTCAATGGCATTGTGTAAGTTCTGTAAATGTAAAAATAGATACACACAGAAAAATATATATTTAACTTGTAACATTTCCGATTTACGAAAAAAATCATCATCTCATTAGGTTGAGAATTGAATGACTATATCAGTCATTCAACAAGTTTACTAATTCGCGATGAAGAGCTAGGTTTGGAGGAATATAGGTGCAAATAATATATAATCATAACGGAGACTAACCATCAGCACAGTGTGTTTTTAACTCTTTCAATCACACTTTTACAATAGGAACATAATTATCAATTTCTGTTTATTTAAGCAACTTGTACAACTAAAACATGACAGAAAATAGAAGGTTAGGAATAGAGAAATTATAGGTATTAAGGCTTTCAGGGAATGAGGTGGTCACTAACGCTAACCACCATGACTATTGCTATAAAATAAAACTAGGATGATTGTGAATGTTATTTATTAGACAAATCATCATTACAAAAGCACAAAACTAACAAAAAAAATTATTTTTTACGAAAATCTTCAAAACATGTTTTACCTTTGCGTATGCAAAGAGGCACTTTACATGTACTACACTGCCATACAGTACGCACTGGAGATATTTTAGTGCTACAATTGCAGCATCTTCTTGATGTGCTTCTTTCAGGTTGATGGCGACTGAATTCTAGATGAATTTCCTGAGGGACTGTAGGTTTGTGGCGTTTTATAAATGCGGGTCCTGGAGAAGAGGCCGCAGAATTACGGCTGCTGTTCACTGAATCCGTCCTATGTTTGTCTCTGACATTAGCTGGTGCCAGTAGGCTCCAGTATACTTCTCGCCTGAATTCTTTCAGAATCAGCTTGTCTTGGTCTGGGCGTGAAGAGGACTGCAGTTCTTTATAAATCAAAAAAGCATTGACAACACAACAATCAAGATAGTGAAAAAAATCCTATGCCACCACTTATGGGATTTTCTGTCACTAGCATAGCTTCCTTTGAGCTGATCAAATTTGTCGACAAAGTTCATGTTTGCGTTGTAGTCGATGACGGCTCGAGGACAGGACACTTCACTACTGGTGCCATTACACTCTCTGCGTTTCACTTTTTCCACATTCTTCGGATCATGGTAGTTTGACAAAATAAATACTGATCTCTTGTCCTTCCATTTCAGCAAACTTACTTTTGTGCCAATAACCCGGTAAACATGTTGACCTCTTTGTAAATGCTTGTCATCTTTTAGAGTTGGCAAGAACTTTCTATAGGAGTTCATAGTTCCACAAGCGAAAATCTGGTCCTCAAGAAGTTTCACTTGCAAAGGGTAATATTGAAATAATTGTCAAAATAAACCTTATGATTTTTATTTTTCTAGGTTTCGCAAAAATTCTTGACAACAAGTCAGTTTCAACGTTACTACCCCGTTTGCCTGTAAAAATATAAAAATCTAGACAATAACCTGATTGTGCACACTTCATCCAAACCTTGTATCCACGTTTTGTCGGCTTTTATGGTATGTATTGTTTTAGTGAGTATTTGCTTTTGAATTTGATCATACTTATATCGATTGCAACTCTCTCAGATGGCTTGTAATTGTTTTAAAAATATTTTTGCAGTATGTCGAGTAGAGGTCTAATTTTATAAAGTTTGTCGTAATTAGGGTCAGTTCGGTCGGGCTGCTATTGTCATTGACATGTAAGTTATTCAAAAGCCAACTGAACCTGTTAAAGCTCATGAACTTCGAAACATAGCTGTCGTGCAAATCAGGCGCTGAAGTCCAATAATCTCGGTAACTCGACAATTTTTTTATGGCCATCACGAAATTTAAGGCAATAAAAACATCAAGCTCTTCCATTGTGATGGGTGTATATGGCTTTCCAGTTTGAGTAGCGTAAAGGTTAGTTTGGAAACATAAAAGGTCTTGTAAATGCTCTGTCCAAAAAGGCAAAATAGTAAAAGAGGTGTCACATTCTCCATTCTTATAATTTGATCTGACAAACCCACTCTTTCAGAAAACTCACCAGGCATATCCATGTTGCTATAATTTTTCTATAATTCTTCTTCCATTTTGGAGCAAACATAACCGGCATGTTTGAACTTACATTATTAGACTCTGTAGAATCAGGATTCCGTTGTGACCGGCAAGACAAAGAGCAATTTGAACTCCAATCAAATCACTTAGCACCGTCGGATTTGGCTGATTTTCTGCCTCTTCTTTGTGATCTTCATAGCTACAAATGCTCTCGTTACCTGAAGGGATGTCTTCAAACAAGTATTTTTCAATCTCTTTCTCTCCTAAGCGGCGCGTGCGGCGCGGCATACTGTAAAGAATGTGAAAAAAACAAATGAAGTTACATCCGTAAGTTACATCCGTCAGTATATTTACGAAAATTTTATATATTTTCACGAAAACAAAGGTAGTGTTAGTGAAAAAAATTATATACCCTCTTTAAACACTAGGAACAAACACAAGCTAGTGATACTGAGTGAGTGAGTGATAGTAATGCCGAGCACGTGGTAAATCAGTACTTAAAATTACAATCAACAATTTCATTGGTGTCGGTGGGCATCTGAGCTACCATGGCTCTTTAATATACGGTTACGACGTAAGCAGTTAAAATGTATTTTTTAAAACGTATTTTTTTTAATTTACTACCATATCAAAAAAGTTCCTTTGTCTGGAGAATAAACGGAGAAAGAAAGAACGTATCACGGTTATCCTCTTTTCAGCCAAATTTTGAAGGCCAATGGTACAACATCTTCAATCAAATTTGAAAAAAATCTTAAGTATATTGTAGTATTGTACTTTTTGATTGACCTATAGGTAGATAATGGAAGTGTGTTATATATCGAAATTACACAATAAAAACATACCATAAGAGTCGTATGTAACCATACAAATAACATACTATTAAGTGTTTGATATTGGCAGTAGGTAGTATGTAAATTTCTAATATTTGTAAGACATCTATACAAATAAATAAAATTAAAGCGTCTGTTTATAACGTCAAAATAACAGCTTTTAACTAAATTCATATACGATATACACGATAAAAAAGTATATACGGTACTTATAACAAAAAAATCTTGTCTGTCTGTATGTCTGCCTGTCTGTTAGTTTCGGCTAATCTATATATATATATATATATATATATATATATATATATATATATATATATATATATATATATATATATATATATCATCATCATCATCATCATTACAGCCCTTCACAAGTCCACTGCTGAACATAGGCCTCCCCAAGTAATACCACAAAGCACGGTCCTGAGCCACCTGCATCCATCGACTTCCTGCATGTCTTACCAGGTCGTCACTCCATCTAGTGGGGGGTCGCCCTACACTACGCCTACCGGTACGAGGCTGCTACTCGAGAACCTTTCTTTCCCATCGGTTATCGGTTCTTCGAGCTATATGGCCGGCCCATTGCCACTTCAGCTTACTAATCCGTTGGGCTATGTCGGTCACTCTGGTTCTACTGCGGATATCCTCATTTCTGAGTCTATCACGCAGTGAAACTCCGAGCATAGCCCTCTCCATAGCTCGCTGAGCGACCTTATACGGATATATATATATATATATATATATATATATATATATATATATATATATATATATAACGGTTGCACAGATTTTGAAGGGACTTTCTTTGGCGGATAGCTGATTTTATAAGGAGTAAATTTGAATTTCAGAAAAATAATTCCGCGCAAAAAAAAATTATAACTCACGAATCCAATCGAATTAATTCCACGCTTGTGAAGTCGCGGGAAACAACTAGTACTTGATATATGAAAGAATATACGGTACTATACCCGTCCAACTACCGGCCTATCGCCATCACCTCCTTGTTCTCCAAAACAATGGAGTCCATTGTAAACTGCCAGCTCATGAGATACCTTGAGGATCACCAGTTGATTAGTGACCGCCAATACGGTTTTCGCCGTGGTAGGTCAGCTGGTGATCTTCTGGTCTACCTAACTCACAGATGGGCGGAGGCAGTAGAGTCCAAGTGGGAGGCATTGGCCGTTAGTTTGGACATTGCGAAGGCCTTCGATCGGGTTTTGCACAAAGCGCTTCTTTCGAAGCTCCCTTCCTATGGGCTTCCCGAGAAATTGTGCGATTGGATCACCAGTTTTCTTGCAGATCGGAGCATCAAGGTCGTTGTAGACGGTGCAAGCTCCGATTGCAAGCTTATTAATGCTGGTGTTCCACAGGGCTGCGTGCTATCGCCAACGCTGTTTCTTCTGCATATCAATGATATGTTGCAAACCCGTAGCATTCATTGCTATGCAGATGACAGCACTGGTGATGCTCTTTACACCGGCCGAGCCAATATTTTTTGGGAAAACGTCAGATTCTCGGATTGGGGGCGACTAAATCTAGTCCAGTTTAACCCCCAGAAGACACAAGTTTGCGCGTTAACCGCTAAAAAGAACCCCTTTGTCGTATCCCCTCAGTTTCAAGGCACTCCCCTTGTTGCCTCAGCCAGTATCGGAATCCTCGGCGTCGACATATCGAGTGACGTGCGGATTCGTGGTCGTGGTGTGTGTGTATGTGTGTTTGTTATTATCTGTTACTTAATATTAAAATAATTTATTTTTTAAAGAATGATTTGCTTTGGTGGAAGATGTTAGTTGAAGAAAATTCCTTATTATAGCTATTAAGTATGCGACATATTACAGAAAAAAGTGCAGGAAATTAATTAGGGACTATCAATTTTGTTACTGCAAATTTCATGTTGGAATAGCATCTGGCAATCTTTCAACAGCATTAATTTACGAATATAACATGATTCTATATAATTTTAATGTTATATTTTGACATCGAAAAGTCAAGGCCTTAATATATTTTGTCTGTATTCGTTCTATTTCTTGTATGTTATATAATTTGGATTTCACACAACACTCCAATATTCCAGGACGCTACGGACCTAAGGATAATAAAAAATCTTTATAGATTCTATGTCTAAAAAAGGTGGACAAACTCGTACTACAAAGCTAAGATTTTTATAAGCCTTTGCAACCATTTCCGTGATATGATCAGACATCATCATTTTTGAATTAAAGACTATTCCGAGGTCCTTGGTTTTGTCAGTGTGTTCTAAAGGAATGTTGTTCAAATAGTATTGAGATTTAAATTTTTTCCTTTTGCAAGTAAAGCTAATTTGAAAACATTTCGATACATTCACGCCTATACGGTTATCACGGCAGTAGCTGCAGAACCGATATAAGTTTACCTACATTATGTAGCTTATAAGGATCTGATTCAGACTTTATGCAAGCATAAATTTTCATGTCATTAGCGTACATCAGGAACTTATCAAAGTGAAAGCAGTTGCCCACATCGTATAAGTATATCGCATACAACAAGGGCCTCTATAATGAGCCTTGTGGGACTCCAAATAGAACGCCCACAACATTCGAGCAATATCCAGCCACTACGGCTGCCTGTGAGCGATTGTGCAGATACGATTCCATCCATCGGAAAGGGTTATTATGCATTTCTAGCTCCTGGAGCTTTTTGAAGCGGATGGTGTGATCAACTCGGTCAAAAGCAAATTGGTGCAAGTTGAGCGACCACGTACAAAGCCATATTGTTAGGAAGGAATATTCCGAATAACTAACGGGTATATTTGCTTATGGACTACTCTTTCCATTACATTAATACTTCAATTTTTAATACATTCAATATTGATATTGAATATATATATATATATATATATATATATATATATATATATATATATAAATTCCCGATGCTTGTTTTTGATCTATTTTTTATGTATAATTGATACAATATTGGCAGTTTTCCAAATTTTTGCAAGGTATCCTTCTTCAAAACATCTATTAAATATTACTGTTATGGGAGTTGCCAATGACTTCACACATTCCGACAAAGAAAAGGGAAGGGGGTTCCATCACAACCGGCCCTTTGGGAAAAAGTAAGAGTTGTTAGAAATTTCATAGTGTCGGCAATCGAGATATGTATACCACTTATTATATTACAGCCTGACACTCTCTTTTCATATATTTCACTATATTGTTGTGTTGTTAGGCTAAAATTTCTGCAAAAAAGGCATTAAAAGCATTACAGATCACAAATTCATTAACGACATTATAACCGTTTACCGAATCGGTTCTTTCTTTTTGATTTTATGTAACTCCAAAATAATTTATTCGATGATTTGATTTTATCTTGATATAATTTAATACGAGAGAAATATCATTCTTTTCGAGTTACTTTACCCTAGATCGTATTTTGGTAAAAGACGCATAATCTTCTGGGTTACTTTTTTTTTCAGAGGTATTGCTATATCATACAGGGTATACATTTGAATAAGAAATAACATTTTTGGAGTAAATGTTTAATAATAGCAGTATTTAATACGGAATAAAAATTGTCAATGGCATTGTGTAAGTTCTGTAAATGTAAAAATAGATACACACAGAAAAATATATATTTAACTTGTAACATTTCCGCTTTACGAAAAAAATCATCATCTCATTAGGTTGAGAATTGAATGACTATATCAGTCATTCAACAAGTTACTAATTCGCGATGAAGAGCTAGGTTTGGAGGAATATAGGTGCAAATAATATATAATCATAACGGAGACTAACCATCAGCACAGTGTGTTTTTAACTCTTTCAGTCACACTTTTAGAATAGGAACATAAATATCAATTTCTGTTTATTTAAGCAACTTGTACAACTAAAACATGACAGAAAATAGAAGGTTAGGAATAGGGAAATTATAGGTATTAAGGCTTTCAGGGGAATGAGGTGGTCACTAACGCTAACCACCATGACTATTGCTATAAATAAAACTAGGATGATTGTGAATGTTATTTATAAGACAAATCATCATTACAAAAGCACAAAACTAACCAAAAAAAATTATTTTTTATGAAAATCTTCAAAACATGTTTTACCTTTGCGTATGCAAAGAGGCACTTTACATGTACTACACTGCCATACAGTACGCACTGGAGATATTTTAGTGCTACAATTGCAGCATCTTCTTGATGTGCTTCTTTCAGGTTGATGGCGACTGAATTCTAGATGAATTTCCTGAGGGACTGTAGGTTTGTGGCGTTTTATAAATGCGGGTTCTGGAGAAGAAGCCGCAGAATTACGGCTGCTGTTCACTGAATCCGTCCTGTGTTTGTCTCTGACATTAGCTGGTGCCAGTAGGCTCCAGTATACTTCTCGCCTGAATTCTTTCAGAATCAGCTTGTCTTGGTCTGGGCGTGAAGAGGACTGCAGTTCTTTATAAATCAAAAAAGCATTGACAACACAACAATCAAGATAGTGAAAAAATCCTATGCCACCACTTATGGGATTTTCTGTCAATAGCATAGCTTCCTTTGAGCTGATCAAATTTGTCGACAAAGTTCATGTTTGCGTTGTAGTCGATGACGGCTCGAGGACAGGACACTTCAGTACTGGTGCCATTACGCTCTCTGCGTTTCACTTTTTCCACATTCTTCGGATCATGGTAGTTTGACAAAATAAATACTGATCTCTTGTCCTTCCATTTCAGCAAACTTACTTTTGTGCCAATAACCCGGTAAACATGTTGACCTCTTTGTAAATGCTTGTCGCCTTTTAGAGTTGGCAAGAACTTTCTATAGGAGTTCATAGTTCCACAAGCGAAAATCTGGTCCTCAAGAAGTTTCACTTGCAAAGGGTAATATTGAAATAATTGTCAAAATAAACCTTATGATTTTTATTTTTCTAGGTTTCGCAAAAATTCTTGACAACAAGTCAGTTTCAACGTTACTACCCCGTTTGACTGTATAAATATAAAAATCTAGACAATAACCTGATTGTGCACACTTCATCCAAATCTTGTATCCACGTTTTGTCGGCTTTTATGGCATGTACTGTTTTAGTGAGTTTTTGCCTTTGAATTTGATCATACTTATATCGATTGCAACTCTCTCAGATGGCTTGTAATTGTATTAAAAATTGTTTTGCAGTATGTCGAGTAGAGGTCTAATTTTATAAAGTTTGTCGTAATTAGGGTCAGTTCGGTCGGGCTGCTATTGTCATTGACATGTAAGTTATTCAAAAGCCAACTGAACCTGTTAAAGCTCATGAACTTCGAAACATAGCTGTCGTGCAAATCAGGCGCTGAAGTCCAATAATCTCGGTAACTCGACAATTTTTTTATGGCCATCACGAAATTTAAGGCAATAAAAACATCAAGCTCTTCCATTGTGATGGGTGTATATGGCTTTCCAGTTTGAGTAGCGTAAAGGTTAGTTTGGAAACATAAAAGGTCTTGTAAATGCTCTGTCCAAAAAGGCAAAATAGTAAAAGAGGTGTCACATTCTCCATTCTTATAATTTGATCTGACAAACCCACTCTTTCAGAAAACTCACCAGGCATATCCACTCTATAATTCTTCTTCCATTTTGGAGCAATCATAACCGGCATGTTTGAACTTACATTATTAGACTCTGTAGAATCAGGATTCCGTTGTGACCGGCAAGACAAAGAGCAATTTGAACTCCAATCAAATCACTTAGCACCATCGGATTTGGCTGATTTTCTGCCTCTTCTTTGTCATCTTCATAGCTACAAATGCTCTCGTTACCTGAAGGGATGTCTACAAACAAGTATTTTTCAATCTTTTTCTCTACTAAGCGGCGCGTGCGGCGCGGCATACTGTAAAGAATGTGAAAAAAACAAATGAAGTTACATCCGTAAGTTACATCCGTCAGTATATTTACGAAAATTTTATATATTTTCACGAAAACAAAGGTAGTGTTAGTGAAAAAAATTATATACCCTCTTTAAACACTAGGAACAAACACAAGCTAGTGATACTGAGTGAGTGAGTGATAGTAATGCCGAGCACGTGGTAAATCAGTACTTAAAATTACAATCAACAATTTCATTGGTGTCGGTGGGCATCTGAGCTACCATGGCTCTTTAATATACGGTTACGACGTAAGCAGTTAAAATGTATTTTTTAGAACGTATTTTTTTAATCTACTACCATATCAAAAAAGTTCCTTTGTCTGGAGAATAAACGGAGAAAGAAAGAACGTATCGCGGTTATCCTCTTTTCAGCCAAATTTTGAAGGCCAATGGTACAACATCTTTAATCAAATTTGAAAAAAAAATCTTAAGTATATTGTAGTATTGTACTTTTTGATTGACCTATAGGTAAGTAATCGAAGAGTGTTGTATATCGAAATTACACAATAAAAACATACCATAAGAGTCGTATGTAACCATACAAACAACATACTATTAAGTGTTTGATAATGGCAGTAGGTAGTATGTAAATTTCTAATATTTGTAAGACATCTATACAAATAAATAAAATAAAATTGTCTGTTTATAACGTCAAAATAACAGCTTATAACTAAATTCATATACGATATACACGATAAAAAAGTATATACGGTACTTATAACAAAAAAAAAATCTTGTCTGTCTGTATGTCTGCCTGTCTGTTAGTTTCGGCTAATCTTTATATATATATATATATATCATCATCATCATCATTACAGCCCTTCACAAGTCCACTGCTGAACATAGGCCTCCCCCAAGTAATACCACAAAGCACGGTCCTGAGCCACCTGCATCCATCGACTTCCTGCATGTCTTACCAGGTCGTCACTCCATCTAGTGGGGGGTCGCCCTACACTACGCCTACCGGTACGAGGCTGCCACTCGAGAACCTTTCTTCCCCATCGGTTATCGGTTCTTCGAGCTATATGGGCGGCCCATTGCCACTTCAGCTTACTAATCCGTTGGGCTATGTCGGTCACTCTGGTTTTACTGCGGATATCCTCATTTCTGAGTCTATCACGCAGTGAAACTCCGAGCACAGCCCTCTCCATAGCTCGCTGAGCGACCTTGAGCGTCCTCATACGGATATGTATATGTATATATAACGGTTGAACAGATTTTGAAGGGACTTTCTTTGGCGGATAGCTGATTTTATAAGGAGTAACTTTGAATTTCAGAAAAATAATTCCGCGCAAAAAAAAATTATAACTCACGAATCCAATCTAATTAATTCCACGCTTGTGAAGTCGCGGGAAACAACTAGTACCTGATATATGAAAGTATATACGGTACTATACCCGTCCAACTACCGGCCTATCGCCATCACCTCCTTGTTCTCCAAAACAATGGAGTCCATTGTAAACTGCCAGCTCATGAGGTACCTTGAGGATCACCAGCTGATTAGTGACCGCCAATACGGTTTTCGCCGTGGTAGGTCAGCTGGTGATCTTCTGGTCTACCTAACTCACAGATGGGCGGAGGCAGTAGAGTCCAAGTGGGAGGCATTGGGCGTTAGTTTGGACATTGCGAAGGCCTTCGATCGGGTTTTGCACAAAGCGCTTCTTTCGAAGCTCCCTTCCTATGGGCTTCCCGAGAAATTGTGCGATTGGATCACCAGTTTTCTTGCAGATCGGAGCATCAAGGTCGTTGTAGACGGTGCAATCTCCGATTGCAAGCTTATCAATACTGGTGTTCCACAGGGCTGCGTTCTATCGCCAACGCTGTTTCTTCTGCATATCAATGATATGTTGCAAACCCGTAGCATTCATTGCTATGCAGATGACAGCACTGGTGATGCTCTTTACACCGGCCGAGCCAATATTTCTCGGGAAAAAGTCTCTGAGTGGCGGGACAAACTTGTGTCTGAAGTCAAGTCTCTGCTGGACAGAGTCTCGGATTGGGGGCGACTAAATCTAGTCCATTTTAACCCCCAGAAGACACAAGTTTGCGCGTTAACCGCTAAAAAGAACCCCTTTTTCGTATCCCCTCAGTTTCAAGGCACTCCCCTTGTTGCCTCAGCCAGTATCGGAATCCTCGGCATCGACATATCGAGTCACGTGCAGTTCCGTGGTCGCTTGGAAGGGAAGGCCAAATCGGCCTCTAAAAAGCTTGGCGTGCTCAGCAGATCGGGACAGTATTTCATCCCGGCACACCGCCTGCAACTTTACAAGGCGCAGGTTCGGCCGCTCATGGAATACTGTTCCCATCTCTGGGCTGGGGCTCCCCAGTACCAGCTCCTTCCACTTGACCGCATCCAGCGCAGAGCGGCTCGAATCGTCGACGACCGAGTGCTTTCCGATCGGCTCGATTCACTGGCGCTGCGAAGAGATGTTGCATCTCTTTGCGTATTATATCGCATCTATCACGGGGAGTGCTCTGAGGAATTGTTCGGATTAATCCCAGCCGCCAAATTTCGTGAACGCACTACACGGCAAACGTCCCGATACCATCCACACTATCTGGATGCTTGGCGGTCCACCACTGTACGTTTCAAAAGGAGTTTTCTTCCGCGAACAACCTCTCTGTGGAATAATTTACCACCGGTGATTTTTCCGGACCGATACGACATGGGGACCTTCAAGAAAAGAGCTTTCTAAAGGGCCGGCAACGCACCTGCAATTCCCCTGGTGTTGCGTTTGATCATGGGCGGCGGTAGTCACTTAACATTAGGTGAGCCACATGCTCGTTTGCCCCCTCTTCTATAAAAAAAAAACTTATAACAAAGTACATTTTGTTTTCTGTATGTCTGTTTGTTCCCGCAAACTCATCCAAAGTGGCTGGACCGATTTTGACTTAACTTTCACAGGAATTACTTAAGCTACTTTTTGATTTCTTATATTTACGCGAACACTATACATTGATTAAAACTACTTTTTACGGATTTTTATCGCGTTTTATTTATATTAATTTTAATACCCGACGTTTCGGGTGCTTTCCAGCACGAGCAGAAACGTCGGGTATTAAAATTAATATAAATAAAACGCGATTAAATCCGTAAAAGTAGTTTTAATCAATGTATAGTGTTCGCGTAAATATAAGAAATCATTATTTAATACCAGTACGGACTGGAAATAACAAATAAAATACGCCGATTAGAAGATCTAATGACCAAGCGCGCAAGATACATAACAGCTTTAAATTTCTTGAAGAGATGCAGAGATCATAATCTCACTCCTACGTGTGTCAAGATATCTACTAAAAAAGACATTCGAGGAAGCGCTAAGATCTTAAATCAGGCGAGTAAAAAGTTGTTAATAACGGTGATTCAGCAAAAACGTACCGATCTATGTTTCATAAACAAAACCATAGACAATTCGTCCAGTGAATTAAAGACAGTTTTATCGACATTTGATTATAAGAAATGCATGGAAACTTTAGATAAACGCGAAACAACTAAATACAATGAATGCAAAAATAAACATATTGATAAATACCAAAAATTAACAACTAAATTAAATGTCTAACATCAATGGCAACGTAAGAACGAAACGACCACAGACACGAATAGTAAACAAGGCGTGGTCTATAACCTGTCAAAACATACTCTGGACGACGCCACATTAAAAGTTTTAGGAAGAGGTTTTAATTATGCAATTACACCGCGAAGAATCCCGTATGAAGACATTATCTGTAGTGTTGAGGATTGTCTGTATAAAAAAAATATTGGTGCCTGGGAAAGATTTTTTGGGAGGGCTTTGGAGGGGGGTTGGTGAGGCATATAAGAGTTAGTATAATATTAGAATGAAGATTTAGAGGCCATACGCCAAGACATTTCGTCTATGTTACGTCGAAGTACAGCGCCGAAATTAAATCTTCCCAAAAATGAATTTAACGCGTTAAAAACCTTACGCAACAGACCAGAGCTTACGATTCTCCGCGTAGATAAAGGAAATGCTACGGTTGTAATTGATACGTCGGATTACAATTTTAAAATACAACTTTTTTCGGATAAAAGTACGTACCGTAAGGTCAAAACAGACCCTACAACTAATACGCTTAAAACAACTAGCGATCTAATTAAGAAATACTCCGAGAAATTGAATCTAGACGTCAATTCGATGATACCTTCGTGTGCAAAACCTCCCAAGTTGTATAGGTTACCAAAAATACACAAACCTAACGCTCCATTACGTCCAAAAGTGAGTCAAATCGATTCGCCAACGTACAGATTGGCTCAACACTTAGCCAAAATATTATCACCACTCAGAGGACACACAAGAGCACATACTAAGGATTCATACCATTTTGTCAGTGAGATAAAAGACCTACGTCTTGCTGACAATGAAACCATGGTCAGTTTTGATGTTCAGTCTCTATTTACATGCCTACCTGTTGAAGACTGCATCTCAATTATAAGTAGGAAACTAGATGAAAATAACATGCCACAAAAAGAATATGCAGTACTACTAAGACATTGCCTTACATCTGGCTATCTATTGTGGAAGGAAGAGTTTTACAAGCAAGTAGATGGTGTTGCGATGGGCTCACCTGTATCTCCCATTGTCGCCGATATATTCATGGAAGACTTTGAGGAGAAAGCCCTCCTTACTGCACCTATTACCCCAAGGTTCTACAAGCGGTACGTAGACGATACTTTCACAATTTTACCATCAGACAAAGTAACTGCATTTTTAGAACATCTTAATTCCATAAACCCTAAAATTCAATTTACTATGGAGTTAGAGGCAAATAATTCCTTAGCTTTCCTAGATGTGTTAGTCATCCGAAATCCTAACAACACCATAGGTCATACTGTGTATAGTAAAAAGACCCATACAAACCGATACTTAAATGGTGAATCTCACCATCATCCTTCACAGTTAGCTACCGTGGGCAAATCTTTGTTTCAGAGAGCACGAGGGAT